TAAATGCATATTGCCTTTTTTTTTATGCATTATGCAATTAAAGAAATTATGCATTTATCAATAGGAACCAAGTTGGTGGACAAAAATTGTAGTGCATTTGAAGTATAATTGAAAGAGATATATAATATATTAATACAATCAATGTATATGAAAGTTTGGGTAGTTTTTGGTGTTCAGGTGAGGTTTTGGGTTTCAAATAAGGTTTTGGGTTTCAGGTAAGGTTTTGAGTTTCAGATAAGGTTTTAGAAGCTATAATATGAAACCTGAAACTTTCAGATTAGCACAAAAGAATTTTGGTGCCAACTTTGATCTAGTACAATTTCTAGTAACCTAGTTTTATAATAAAAATAGATATTCTTAAATTTTAAATATGAAAATGGATAACGGATTGCATTTCTATTCTAAATATACTAATTCCATCTCGACACACAATATCTGTGATTATTATTTTATCAATGCAATAAAAAATTCTAAAAAAAAATGAAAATTCCTAATATCTAGCAAATACACACAAAAATTTGCATCGGGCCACTGATATTTATGCACAAAAATCAAGTTTTTGCTATTATTTATTATAGCATCTGTAAATTACTATAGTTTCAGCCTTTTATTTTGCTGCCATTAGAGATACTTATCAGTGAAAATTTCTGTGATCAATCATATAATCGATTATATATAAAATGTTCAAAAGTTTGATTGATCAAATTATGATTGATTGAAAAATTAGCAATCGATCCAAATCAACCAATTTGATTGATTAGGCTACACAAAGTTAATTTTTCATTTTGTATAACATGGTTTTCCAAAATTCCAGTCAGTAGGTTGGATTTTTTTTTTTTTTCAAAAAAAATTTTTTACTATAAATTAGTTGTTTCATGCTCATATTTAAGGCCATGCAAGTTAATTTTTTATTTTGCATAACATGGAATCAGAAAATTTAGAAATTTTGTTTTTTTTTTTAACAGTCCTGTCAGGTTATTCCGGGAATTTAAACTCAATATTGGGTAATACCAGATAAATTTACGGAAAAAAATTAAATAGCAAAAATGGAATAATTGGGGCAATTGGAACTTAAAAAAAAAAAAAAGTTTTTTTGAAAAATTGGGTCAGCGGGTTATGCAAAACGAAAAATTAACTTTGCGTGGCCTTATATCAAATATGATCGATCATATAATCGATCATACAATTGATTTTTTAGATTAAATAAAACAAAGGTAAAGTTTTTAAAGTGAATAACAATCATTTATAAAAATGTGTTTTTTTTTTTTTGTTGTCCTTAGTACTTGAACTATGAATTTGTTGTCAACTGTCTTCAAAGTTGTTAATGGCTTATTCAAAACTAGTTTTAGCTGCAACTGAAACAGCTTTTAAAGTCATAGCTTAGTTTTTGAAGCCACAACTTGTATTATGGTTAGAGCATAACTTGAGCTTTGGCTCAAGCTGTGGTAGACAATTCTGTACCGATACAGTACTGCAGTAGCATTGTATTAATTAATATTACATAGCTACAGTAACAATGATTTTAAAGCAATATAGTATTTAAAGAAGCCATACAAGTATTAACAGATCTAAAAATCTTTAATAAGCTAAAATTGGTTTATAAAACACTTTGTCATATAATGTCAGGTTTTCACATAATATTGTCTCTTATTTAATCAATTGAACATTATCAATAAATATATTAATTAATTTTTTGTTTAATTTTATTCGTATTGTTTTAAATTCTCTCAAGCACATAATTAATAGGTCTAAACTCAATTTCTAATTTGTAGAAAGTAGTTTAACCAGTAAGTAGTTTATTATCTCGATAAAAATTAAAGCTAAAACCACATTTTTTGTTATAAACTTGTTCTGATAGGCTAAAATTTATTATCTGCATTTTGTGATATAAACCTTTAGCAAAATTACAGCAAGTATCGCTTTAATTAATTATAGTACTTTATGCTCAGTAACTAGCTAATCACATTGAGAGCACTTTTAGTCTCTAAGTTTAGTAATTATTTATTGGTTTAATTGACCCAAGCATTTAATATGAGCTGTTTACCTTTATTTAGCTTCTAATTTCTTATCCACATTAGTCTGTATAATTATCATCTGCCAAAAACATTTCTAATTAGTATAGTATGATCAGATCTGTATGAGATGTGGTGCGAAATACCCCTATTTTTAATACTCTGGTGTTATGTATTATTAGAGTTAGCATTGGTAGATTAGTAAGCTATACTTTTTAAAGAGGTCTATACTATATACATCTAAAAATCTTATGATATTTCTTGTTTGTTTAAATTATAGTATCCCATTTAGTTGTATACCTGATATTTATTTTATCTGAATTCAAAACAATAACTATTCTGTATTGGAGTTGTCTAAATTAATCTTATATTTATCTGTTCCTGGTTTAGTGCGACAATGTCGGGCAGCTACTTACACTTACCGTAAAGTTCCAAAAATAAGCAACCCTGGAAAGTATCTCAAAGTTAGGGAAGTGTCATTTATTATGTGATTTTTTTGAGAGGGGGTCCCTAACAAAATATCATGTATATAGAAAACCATCCATCGGGCTTTCAATTTTATTTTGTACCAAATATAGTCTATCTAATTGATAAATTTAATTTAAATACTGATTATCATTTATCATGTGGGGGTAAATTTAATATTTGCAAAAAATCACATAATAAATGACACTTCTCTTACTGAAATCAAATAACTCTTCCAAAAAAACTAGTCTTGGAGGGTTGCTTATTTTCAGGACTTTACGGTATTTATTTATTAGTTCAGTCAGGGAATATACTATAAATGTATACTGCTGATCACACCATTTATGGGGTCGTAAGCCTGGCACCTCACAAAACTACCTGAATCACGGGAGATTACGGAATATGATCAATCCCGATTTTTTTTGGGTATTTAAAGTATTTAAATTAAAAAAATCATATTGATTGAAATTTAAATTCTATTTGGCTATTAGAGCTGTATGATATCTAAGATTTTTTCTTGAATATAATGGGGATAAAAAATTTAAGCCTATCGCTATACACTCTAAGATTTTTAAGAATTTTTCTCTAAGATTTTATATTAAAACTTAAGAATTTTATTTTTTTTTAAAATCTGATCTTTTTTTTTTTATATTTATATATATATATATACTGTATATAAAGATTCTTTTTTTTATTACCTCCTTTTGAATTTTTCTTACTTTCGAATAACACGAATCATACAATTTTTTTTTTAATCACAGTAAAGAGGCCAATATATATTGTATACCGGTATATATTTTTATTAATGAGTAATTTTTTTGTAAAAAATGAAGAAGGTGTATTTGTAGAAGAGGAGGAGGCCGTACTTGAAAAGGAGGGTGTTGTATATGAGGAAAGTGAAAGTATAGAGGAAAACAAAAGTGTAGAGTTTGAGGAAAACGAAAGTGTAGGGTTTGAGGAAAACGAAAGTGTAGGGTTTGAAGAAAACGAAAGTGTAGGGTTTGAGGAAAACAAAGCCACGTTTGAAGAAAATAGAAACACTATGCTTGAGGAAAACGCTTAAATTTTATACGTCTCAATCCTTAACTACTAATGAAAGACGTGAACTTCTCTTCAATGTTGGTGAACTATTTGAAGTTTCAATGCATGATTTTGTCAAGCATGGTGGCTGCTTGTTTCAAATGTTTGGTCCAGATTTAGCTATAAAAATCATGCTAACGGTAATTTATAGAAAGTTTTTGCATGCCAGCTTATGAAACATAATCATTCAAGTGGGCGAAAAGAAGGTATCCCTCTTGAAAAGCGTAGAAAGACAAAAATCCGTCCTCCCAGCCTGTGCTCTGCAAAAATTCGGGTGTTGCGTTTTGTTGGGCGCATAAAGTGCAAATTGAACGATATAATAACAGCCTTGACCATACGCACACACTTGAAGAAAGAGAAATGTTAAAGCATTCGGATGCAGTTTGAAAATTAGTGGAAGAGGAAGCAGTCAAGAATTACCCGCCACCCACTATTGTGAGTGCGATTAAGGACTATGCAACCAGAAAGCTGGATTTGGGTGCAAGTGTTAAAGAGTTAAAATGAAAGGAGATTTCAAACATTAAGCAAAAAGTATGTGAAGCACAAAAAAATGAAAACTTTGGAGGTAATATAAATTTAGAATCCAACATTGCAGAATGTATTCATTTTTTAAAAAATGAAGGTTGGGATCTTTTATTTTATTATATACATAGGCTTGGTACTGGAAAAAAGGACGAAATTGATCAAAAAAATTCTTCCACAAAAAATTAATTATCTTGCGAACTAGTTTGCAAAATAATTAATTTTTTGTGGAAGAATTTTTTTTGTCAATTTCGTCCCTTTTCCAGTATGTTTTATTTATTTATTTATTTTCTTAATTTATTTATTTTCTCATTTTATTTATTTTCTTAATTTATTTATTTTCTTATTTTATTTATTTAAGGGTATAATGTTGAACATTATAACAATGTGAGTCGATCTACATATGGTATAGTTTTTGTGCACCCACTCCAACTCGTAAAGCTCAAACGAAATGGTTGGCTAACCCTGATCGATTCGACGCACAAGACAAACAAATATAACTATCGTCTATTTACTTTGTACGTAAGGGATACATATGGGTGCTGGGATGTTGGTGCACACTTTTTTGTTAGTAAAGAAGATAGCGACACAGTCACAGATGCCTTGAAAATTATTAGACGATTTGGACGTCACTAGAATCCCCAATATATCCTTGCTGACCAAAGCCACGTTGAGGCTAATAGCATTAGGAAAGCATTTCCTGGTCTTCGTGGTGGTGAGCAAGAGTGTGCCATAAATTTTTGTATGGTTCACGTAATGCGGGTATGAATGAGTAAAATATACGAAACCAAAGCTCAAAGCCTGATGATTCAGGCAATGCATAAAACTACAAAAATTGGTTGTGAGGAGCTTATTTAGCAAGCAATTTGTATATGTCAAGTTCCTGGTATAAAAAACTACATTACACGAAATTACATAAAGAATTCGAATCAATGGGCCCTCTAGGCATAGCAACATTCACCCCTTCTATTACAAGTAACCTTAACCAATCCTCTAGAGTCCTATCATAGTGATCTAAAATGGATGACATTATCTAATTATGGTATTATAAGTATAATACAAAAATCAGGCTTTAAATTTTTATTTTTTAATAAAAAAATAGTTTTTTATTTATAAAATATTTATTTTATTTATTTATTAATTTTTTTCATATAAGAAATATTTTAAATAAAATACATTTTCATTATAAAATATTACATTATCAATTTCACCATTTACAAAAATAAAATTTATTATTTTACTTTTATTAGGCGCTTGTTATAAAATTATTGCTCTAGATGCCAAATGACGCTCAATCTCAGAAAGTACGGCCTTCGAATTTCGAATTAAGCAGATTTCTGTTGTTGGAGTTGATAATGAAATTCTTAGTGAGATTCACAAGTTCCCCTATCCCATCCAGCAGTTAATCGTTACCGAAGCCTGTGCTGTTGAAAAAGAATTGAAAAGGGTAAAGAAATACCTGGCTTAACTTCACTTAATTGTTTTTGCTTGTTTTTTCGCCGATACTTACTTCCTTGCCGACATATGTTTCATGAACATATGTATGGTGATGAACTATTAATGTCGAGTGTGTGGGTGCAATTTTAGCAAATGTTTGTGGAGAATGGTTTTGAAATATATGAATGTCGTGAAGTTGTGGAAATTGAAATACCTAAAAAAACGGAAGCTGATAAGGCCTTGGAGAATCGACGCTCGGTTGTAAACGAACTAATGAAAAGAACCTGTAATGCATATTGGAAAGTAGAGGATGAAAGAAGCCCAAAAGAAAAATCAGAATTTATTAAAAATTTAAAAAGTTCTTTAGAGTATATTTTAAATAAATAAAATAATAGCTTTTATGAATGCATACGTATACTTGTTCATTCTCAGATCTATTCTTCTTACAACCGATTCCAGCGAGCATATGCTTAAGTTTTTTTATAAATAAAAAAAAAACACCTCATATTTATTAAAAAAAAAAAAAAAAGAACACTATCCCTATAATACTGTATATAATACAGTAATATTACAGGTAGTAGTAGTATAAAATATTAACGTTAAAAAAAAAAATTATTACCGACTCTCCGGAAATAATCGTAACCATGTGCATTCTGTGATTTCCCGTGATGCGGGTAATTTCATGAGGTGCCAGGCTTTAGACAACCCCGAATTTAGTTAGGTAGTCGTTGAGAAAACTTCGCTTAAAGTTTTAAAAAAAAGGCTATAAATCAAAAAAAGCAAAAAGCTATAGTAAAATTTCTAGCACAGATTTCTCAATTATTATTGTTATCTAACCAAATTTGATAAATTTTTTTTATTTTGTGCTTGTAAAATCAAATAAAAAAAATTTGGGGTGACTCTTCCCGACAATTATTTAAACCAAAAATCCGACTAAATAAAAAAACAAAATTTTTGTTGGAGAGATGTGGCTATAAAGTGGTTTGTCTAGAGGTCAACATTATTTGCCTTTCGGGACTCCTCTAAAGAGACATTTGGCATGCAAGCCAAGAGCGTTATTATACAAGATAACTGGCAGGTGGTGCCCTTGTATGAAAAATCTTGGTGGTGTTTGGGGTCGGCCCCATCTCCGTCGACGAAGCTATCTAGCTGTTACTTCGAAAAAGAACACAGGGAAACAACAAAACTTGTGTTTTTTTTTTTTTTGAAGCCTCACTCCTTTACTTGGTTAAGTAGTACCTTTTTTACCTTTACTCACCCTCCCGTCGGTCTTCTAAAATTTTTTACAAAAAGTGGGGATTTGGCTTACCCCCTCCAAAAGATCAGTATTGTTTACTTTTCAAATTCGGACGGACTCAGTAGAATGCAACCACGTGACGTGTCTGTTTATAAATATGGTGCTACTCCGGAGAAGTTGAATCGGGACCTCTGGTTAAAGAGATATCCGAAAACGGTCATAAGTCAGAAGAACTTTTTATGCTAAGGCAAAGCTTTACAGTAGAGATATACAATCGTTGCATTTGTTATATAATTTTTTAGCCTTGCACAGGTTATAATAGTGCATTCTTATTAGGTAGAGAGGTGAAATCCCTCTTTACACTTTATCCTAGTTCTATAAAATTTTTTTATTTTTTCCCATTTTTTCTTTTTTTGGGTTTTTTTTATTTTTTATTTCGCTCTTTTCCCTTTTTCCTCTTTTGCTCATTCCCCCTTTTTAGTCATAGTTCATTTTCGTTTTTTATAGAATTTTTTTGTGTGGATAATTTCAGTCATCCGTGATTTGGTAGGACGGAGTCGCTCATAGGCCTGAGTTAGGTTTCGCACCGCAATATGGAACCGTGTAATGTCGGACTTCTTATTTGAAATTTATGTATTTATAGTTCTTATAAATATTAATAAATAAAATTAGTTACGGCGAGACCCGTTGACATTTAAAAAAAAAAAATAAATAAAAAATAAAAAATTTGGGGTCTTTGCCTTTAAAATTATAAAACATATGATGATCAAAAATGAAACTTTACTGTAATTATATATAAATAAATTAGTGTTCCGCACGGATCGAATCAGACAGATATTTTTAAAGATCCGAATCTGACCCAAAATTTCGAATCGATAGCATTTAAATATACGGATCCAGAATAGACAAATTTGCAAATCTACACGTGATTATTAACCAAACAAATTGGTGAATATATATATAGAGAAGTAAAACTGGTTTTCAACCACTAAAACAACCAGAACATACTACAGAATTACCCAAGAATATATACGATCTATAAACCCAAACTTAAAACCAACCCAATTTAAGAATGCTTTAACCCTAAATTTCTTATTGCTAACACCGCTAACAAGCTTATTCTGCTTCAAAAACCAAATCTGGAATTCTGATCTCTAAAAAAAACTAGTTATTTTGTTAGTAACTATTTTTTTTTAATGCGTGCTAAAATTCAAATAAAGCTTTTTTTTCTTTACTTAGTTCGGAAAGTTGCGTCTAAGCTAACTTTTCTAAATATAGATAATAAAAGATTAATTTTAGAGTTAACTTTCTAGCACTCTTCTGTAAGAAATGATATTATGACGATTTTTGCTTGTGTAATTTTACGTCCTTTAAAGTGTATAAATAAGTTACCCGGGCAATTGATATACAACAGCCAATCAAACAATATCAAGAAAATTCCGGGCTGAAGATCAATGTCTGATCCAATTCCAGAGCCAAAACTTCTAGCAACGATTTTTTGGTAACCACTCGATCAAATTTAGTAAAATTTTTTATTTTGATTCTATATATTTGTAAGTGGTTGTTGAGAAACTTTACTAGAAGTTTCGAAAAAGCTTGAAATATCGAAAAAAAATCTAAAATCGGCAAGCTTTTTCTTTTTGATGATGATTTCTCAACACTCATATATCCAAATTCAATGAACTTTTTTTATTTTGAGTTTACAAGTACATAGGATTAAAATAATAAAAAATTTTATCGAATTTGAATAGACAGATGTTGATTAAAAGCCAAAAAATTTTGGCCGCAGCTTTTTTTACGAACATCTACCAAATCAAATTCGATCAAAATATTTTATTCCAATTCTGAGATTATCCCTTAAATTGTATTCGGGGCAAATTTGCCCTGAATTTTTAAAAGTTTTTAGAATTTTTTAAATAAAATAAAAAATTATTAATAATATGGAGTATATTTTATATATAAAATATCTTGTTTAAAATATATTTTATTAAGGATTTTATATTTTTTCGCATATGCAATAAATTGCTACCCCTCGTGTAATATATATATTTAGTATTAATTTTTGATCAGTCCCCCGGTTACACAGATCTATAATATAAGTATAGATTTTTTTTTATCGCTTTTCTTTCTTTTCTTAACCAGTTTTTTTTTACAGTCATATATTTTGTCGTTTACAACATTATTATTGTCACTGTATTGCTTTTTTTCACTTTACTAACCAGCTTTTTTACAGGTGTCATTTGTTAGTGTTATCGTTTGATAGTGAATTCGCTTTATGTTGTCGCGTAATGGTTCGGTCGGTGCTAGGTTGCTGTTTAATATTTGGTGATGTATATTTGAGTCTTTCATTATTATAACTGTTGGGTTCATGTTTTACACTTGCTGGTGCCATCATCTTTGGTGTCGCATTATCGCTGGTGAAATCGCATTTAGTGGTTTGTCCTAATAATAAGTATAGGCTTTTTATTTTATTTTGCTGTTGTGTTTGCTTTTTCTTCCTTTACTAACTAGCTTTTTACAGTTGTCGGTTGTCAGTTTCATTATTTGTTTTATGGTGTCGCTTATTGGTTGCGTTTGAGTGTAATTATTGGGTCGCATTTCATGTTTGGCGATATTGTATTTGAATTTTTTATTTGTTCAACTGTTGGGTCTCCATTTCATACTTGCTAGTGTCGTCATCTTTGGTAGTCTTTACTTTTGGCCTTTTACTAACCAGCCTTTTATAGTCATCGTTTGTTGGTAGGTGCTGGGGTCGTTGTTCGTGGTATCTTTATTTAACTGGCTCTGGAGCCTCCATTTTTTTGCCATTCTTTAGTTTGTCTGTCATTGTTTAGAGTCTTTTCACTGCTCTTAGAATCATTATAGGAGCTTTTTTTATCTTTTACTTTATTTTGTTGTTTTTTTATTGTCTTGGCTTTGTTTTTTTTTTTTTTATTAATTCTTACTAACTTTTCTTTGCTTCATCAATTCGACTTAGCTTTGGTATGTCATCGTTCTTGGTGCTTCGAACTTTGAGTCATCACTGATTTTGTGTTCTTAGCAGTTTTACTTTAAATGTTTTTGGAGCCTCCGTTTTGTTGCCATTCTTTGGTTTGTTTTTTGTGGCGGTGTTGTTGTTATTCTAGAGTCATTGTCTTGGTGTCTACATTTTGGGTATTTTTGTTTTTAGACAACTTTATGGATCTTATGTTTGGTACAATATAGCGACGAGCTATTTCAAGAATAGTTTAATGGTTTGTGAGATTAGGTTTTGATATATTACATGACAATTTTTTAGGGTCAGGATTTGAGACATTTGTTACGTGACGATGTTTGAAAGTTTTTATTACTCTACGATTTCTTAATAAATTGTTTGTTTGTCATTATTACATAATATTTCTGTAATAATTTTGTTTTAATAAATTAAAGTTTTTGGTCAAATAATTTATTTTATCATTATATCAGTCACGTGATTTTTAGGAACTGGCGTTTTATCGCTATAGCGATATTTTATAATGTCCTTTTATTAACTTTATTAATAAAAATATTTTAACTTATTAAAAAGTTTTTAAGCAATAAGAATTTAAAATTTTTATTT